GAACATGTTAGGTCACAAAATAAGTCTCAATAAACTTAAGAATACTCATATTATATCTTTTATGACCACAATGGTATGAAACGAGAAAACGAGGTAAGTTTATAGCAATACAGGCCTACATCAAGAAACAAACAAAAAATCTCAAACAATCTGATCCTTTATCTAAAAGAAATAGAAAAAGAACAACAAACAAAGCCCAAAGTTACTAGAAGGAGGAAATAAAGTTCTGGGTAGAAATAAATGAAATAGAGACTAAAAAACCAACACAAAAGATCATGAAACCAAGATAAACAAAACTGATAAATCTTTAGCCAAACTCATCAAGAGACAAAAAGACAGAAAGGACCCAAATAAGTACAATCAGAAATTAGAGAAGAACAGACACCACAAAAATGTCAAGGATTATGAGACTGCTATGAAAAATCATATGCCAACAAATTAGACAACCTGGAATAAATGGATTAATTTCCTATAAACATATAATCTTTCCAGACTGAATCAGGAAGAAATAGAAAATCTGAACAGATTGATTGCTTGTTAACAAAACTGAATAAAAAAAAAAATCAAAAGACTACCAATAAACAAAAGTCCGAGACCAATGGGCTTCACAGGTGAATTCTATCAACATTTAAAGAAGAATTAATATCTATCCTTCTCAAACTATTCCAAATAGTAGAAGAGGAAGGAAACCTTCCAAATTCATGCTATAAGGCCAGCATTATTCTAATACCCAAACCAGAGAAAGACACTCTAAAAAAAAAATTACAGGCCACTATCTTTGATGAACACAGAGGCAAAAATCCTCAAGAAAATGTAGACAATCAAACTCAACAAAGGATAATACACCATAATCCAGTTGGGTTTATTCCAAGGACACAAGGATGTTTTAATATTAGCAAATAAATCAGTGTGATATACCTCATTAACAAAATGAAGGATACAAACCATATGATCATCTTAATAGATGGAGAAAAGCATTTGATAAAATACAACATCCATTTATGATAAAAACCCTCAACAAAGTGGGTTTAGAGGGAGAACACCTAAACATACTAAGGTCACATGAAAAACCCACAGCTAATATCATATTCAATGGTGAAAAACTGAACATCTTTCCTTTAAAATTAAAAACAAGACAATGAGATGCCTACTCTTGCCACTTTGATTCAGCATAGTATTGTGAGTCCTAGCCACAGCAATTAGACAACAAAAAGAAATAAAAGGTATCCAAACTGGCAGGGAAAAGTTAAACTGTCACTAACTATTTGCAAATGACATACTATATATGGTAAACCCAAAAGCTCCATCAAAAACTGTTGGAAACCAATAAATGAATTCAATAAAGTTGCAGGAGGCAAATTAATATACAAAATTTTGCTATATATTTGTTATACATATACACAAAAATCTGTAACACATATTGCATTTTAATATACAAAATCCTTAACCAAGGAGGTGAAACTTATACTTTGAAATCTGTAAGACTCTGATGAAAGAAACTGAAGACAACACAAACAAATGGAAAGATATACTATGATCATGGATAGAATTAATATTGTTAAAATGTCCACTCTACCCAAAGCAATCTACAGATTTAATGCAATCCCCATCAAAATACCAATAGTATTATTCACTGAAATAGAACAAATAATCCTAAAATTTGTATGGAACCACAAAAGGTCCCAAATAGCCAAGGCAATCTTGAGAAAGAAGAACTAATCTGGAAGTATCACAATCCCAGATTTGAAGCTATACTACAAAGCTACAGTAATCAAAACAGTATCATACTGGTAAAAGAAAAATAGATACATAGATCAATGAAATAGAATAGAGTCCAGAAATAAATCCATGCTTATATAGTCAATTCATCTACAACAAAGGAGGCAAGAATATACAATGGAGAAAAGCAGATAACCCAGATAAAAGATTGCTAAGTTTTTAAAAGTGAAAAAGTCACATAAAAAGTACGAGCTAGATAATTATTACCCCAAATATTTGAATAAGCTTAGGTTGTCTGATAAAAATACCAGTGATTGCTGTTGAGCAGGAAGAATTATTAGAAAGCCCCACACTCTTCCCATTCTATTCCTAATAAATCTACACTTCTTTTAAACCACCACCTCTTCCTAAAAGTCATAGCACAAAGACCACTTAAAATCTTTTTGCAGGAGTAAAGCTATTAATGCAGAGTTCCACAATACTTACTGGAGAATTGTACTGTGGAGAAAAAGAAAGAATATCCATCAATTGGTAAATGACAGAATAAATGTGGTACACTCATAGTATGGCATATTAGGCACCGTTAAAAAGACTAATTACATATATGCAATTTGACTTGAAAGGATTTCCATCATTCAGTGTTATCTGAGAATAGACAGATCAGAAGAGTATAGAGAATATGATCTGATTTTAATAAATAACAATGAGAAAAAAAAATACCAAATTGTTAATACTGGTATCTTAAAAGGGGATAGAGGGCTGGCAGTTAGAGTTTAAAAACGTAAAAGATCTATTTCAAAATATTTCTCAGAATAAATATATATGAAATGCTGTGATTGCACATACCTATATATACATACATGTATGAAAAAATGGCAACCAAAATAATTTTTATTGTTTATTTTATTATTTTTAATGTTTATTTTTGAGAGAGAGAGAGAGAGTGAGAGAGAGAGAAAGAGCGAGCATGTGCTTGCAAGTGGGGGAATGACAAAGAGACGGAGAAAGATCCGAAGCAGGCTCCTCGCTGTAAGTGCAGAGCTCCACGCAGGGCTTGAACTCCCAAACCGTGAGATCATGACCTGACCCAAAATTGAGTTGGCCATTAACCGATTGAGCCACCTAGGCACCCCATAACCAAAATAATTTTAAATACATGTTGAAATACATGGATTTTTACTTCCTCCTTTCTTCTTTATTGATTTATATTTTTGGCTACTGACACCTATTCTTTTTATGCAACCAAAAAAAAGGGTATTCTTATTTTGGGGCAACCTGGAAAACACTGCAAAACCTTTGAAATTTCATTCTTCACAGAGCTAGAACAAACAATTCTAAAATTTGTATGGAACCAGAAAAGACCCTGAATAGCCATGGCAATTCTGAAAAAGAAAACCAAACCCGGAAGCATCACAATTCTGGACTTCAAGCTGTATTACAAAGCTGTAATCAAGACAGTATGGTACTGGCACAAAAGTAGACATATAGATTAATGGAACAGAACAGAGAACCCAGAAATGGACCCATAAACATATGGCCAACTCATCTTCAACAAAGCAGGAAAGAATATCCAAGGGAATAAAGGCAGCAAATGGTGTTGGGAAAACTGGACAGCAATGTGCAGAAGAATGAACCTAGACTACTTTCTTATACCATACACAAAAATAACCTCAAAATGGATAAAAGACCTAAATGTAAGACAAGAAACCATCAAAATCCTAGAGAAGAACACAGACAGCAACCTCTTTGACCTTGATCTCAGCAGCTTCTTACTAGACATGTCTCTGGAGGCAAGGGAAACAAAAGCAAACATGAACATCAAGATAAAAAGCTTCTGCACAGCAAAGGAAAAAATCAACAAAACTAAAAGGCAACCAGGGAGAAGATATTTGCAAATGACATATCAGATAAAGGGTTAGTATCCAAAATCTACAAAGAACTTATCAAACTCAACACCCAAAAAACAAACAATCCAGTGAAGAAATGAATAAAAGACATGAACAGACACTTTCCCAAAGAAGACATCCAGATAGCTAACAAACACATGAAAAGATGCTCAACATCACTCATCATAAGAGAAATATAAATCAAAACAACAATGAGATACAAACTTCAAACCTATCAGAAAGGGTAAAGCTAACAACTGAGGAAACAACAGATTTTGGTGAGGATGTGGAGAAAGAGGAACCCTTTTGCACTGCTGGTAGGAATGCAAACTGGTGCAGCCACTCTGGAAAACAGTATGGAGATTCCTCAAAAAATTGAAAATAGAACTACCCTATGACCCAGCAATTGCACTTCTAGGTATTTATCCATAGGATACAAAAATGCTGATTCAAATTGGCACATGCACCCCAATGTTTATAGCAGCGCTATCAACAATAGCCCAATTATGGAAAGATCCCAAATGTCCACTGACTGACAAATGGATAAAGAAGATGTGGTGTGTGTGTGTGTGTATATATATGTATATATATATATACACACACACACATATACATATACACATATATATATATACACACATACACAATGGAGTATTACTCAGCAACCAAAAAGAATGAAATCTTGTCATTTCCAACAACATGTAAGTAGAATGTATTATGCTAAGTGAAATAAGTCAGAGAAAGGTAAATACCATATAATTTTACCCATATGTTGAATTTAAGGAACAAAACAGATGAACATAGGGGAAAAGAAGGAAAAATAAGATAAAAACAGACAAGCAGGCAAGCCAGAAGAGACTGTTAAATAAAGAACAAGCTGAGGGTTGCTGGAGGGGCTTTGGGTGGCAGATGGGCCAAACAGTGATGGGCATTAAGGAAGGCACTTGTTGGGTGAGCGTTGGGTGTTATATGTAAGTGATGAAACACGAAATTCTACTCCTGAAACCATTATCACATTATATGTTAACTGACTTGGATTTAAATAAAAATTTTAAAAAGTACATGCAAAAATAAAACACGTGAAAATTTAAAAAAATAAAAAAAAACATATATAATGTGCTACAGGTAAAGATATGAGTTCTGCATAATTACTATATTTTAAAATTGAAAATAAAGGGGAGTAATATACTCATTACTGTTAGAATTGTTGAATCATTGTATTGTACACCTGAAACTAATATAAAACTGTATTGATTATATTTCAATAAAAAATTCAAAAATTCTAAAATAGAGATAATTACATAACACAAGTAACACTTTCTGCCAACACTAAAGAACAAAACATCTCATGTAAACAGACCCTCAAGCACAGATGCCACAAACACACAAACATACCTGGATGATTCAGAAGAGTATCAAGTTCTTCTTTGGCCACAACCATTCTTAATCTATCACTACTATCAATGACAAAAATAATGGCTTGTCCTTCTCTGTGTAATATAAAAAATGAGAAAAATTAACGATAAACTCATACATTTTTCCATATTTAGTATTCATCTGCATTTCCTAACCTGTGTATTATCTCTTTATTTATTAGTTTATATGAGTGATTAATATATTATCATTAGTCATATTTTATGTAAAGTAATTTGTTCTCAGTTGGTTGATAATATGGTAAATTTAATGACTTGTTATTTCATAATTTTAAAAAATTACAAGTAAAATCATAATTCTATTACATAGATACAATCATTATTAATACTTTGGCGTAAATCATTTTTGACATTTTCTTTGTGTATACTCACATATGAATATCTACATTTGTATTTAAATGGAATCTTGCTGTTTTACATCCTGACTTTCTGATATATAAACATTTCCGTGATCTTTTTCTGCAGTATGGTTTGAGCTTTTTTAATTTTGAGAGAGAGAGAAAGAGCATGAACAGGGGAGGCACAGAATGAGAGGGAGAGAATCCCAAACACGCTCCACACATCAGTGCAGAGTCTGATGCGGGGCTCAAACTCACAAACCATGAGATCATGACCTGAGCCAAAATCAAGAGTTGGACACTTAACTGACTGAGCCATCCAGGCGCCTCTTATTTGAGTTACCTTTGTATGAAACATTAAACACTATACCAGTATTTTTTTACCTTAACCATAGTGATGAATACATTTTAGATTAACAGGACACATAAGTATACATAACTATATTTGAAATAAGTTTTTGGAAATAATTACAAATAGCTTTGATTTTATTCAATTTGATTTTTTTTTAACTGATAACCATCTACTGATAACCAGCTACTGAACTGGCTTAAGGGTTCACCTATAGATCTCAATGGCCCTTAAAAAAAAGTCACTGATTCCCTCTGACCCTTTCATTGCATGGTGTCATCAAATACTGTGCCAAACTTCTATTGTTGGACTTAGAGATTATTCTTAATTTTCATGATTATGAAAAAGTTTGGAATAAACATCCTCCTAAATACAATTTTTAAATTTTTTGATACTTTAAGATTTGTTCTTAGGACTAAAATTTCTAGGAATATATACAAAATTAAAAGTTTTAGATAAACACTGACAAATTGTATTCCAGACATGCTTTATCAACATCATACTTATACTAATATCAGTACTTTTCCCACCCCTTTCCTGTATGGCTTCTTAACAGTTTTCCATTTTTGCCATTTTTTTTTTTTTAACATTTATTTATCTTTGAGACAGAGAGAGACAGAGCATGAATGGGGGGAGGGCCAGAGAGAGAGGGAGACACAGAATCTGAAGCAGGCTCCAGGCTCTGAGCTGTAAGCACAGAGCCTGATGTGGGGCTCGAACTCACAGACCGTGAGATCGTGACCTGAGCGAAGTCGGACGCTCAACCGACTGAGCCACCCAGGCGCCCCCCATTTTTGCCATTTTAAAAGCATATTAACATTGTATTTCATTAATTGCTAGTGAAGTTCGATATTTTTTCATATATTTACTGGACATTTATACTTTTATGAATCACTTATTCTAGTAGTGAGTTATTATTTTAAAGTTCAATGTCATTAGTAATCACACGAATATAAAAATAAAACAACTTTCTAGTTCTATTTCTTCTACCATTAAAAAAAATGAATACAGATTATCGCCAGTCATTTATTAGTAGTAGCCAAAGAAATTGATATGACTGGAAAGATCTACCAAGAGCTTTAAAAATGTTCAATCACTTTGAACCAGTAATTTTATTTCTGAAATTTATTCTGAGGAAACATGGACTATGACAAAGATTTATGCAGAAAGATGTGTTAACTGAAGGGCTGTTTATAATCTTCAAAAACTGAGAAAAACCTTTATGTCCAAAAATAGAAAAATGACCAAAAAATAGACATAGGCATATGAAAAAATAACAGGTAGCCATGCATTAGTTATATTCTTTGTATGTTTTTCCTGATTTATTCTTATCATGAATGTTAACTGAAAAAGCAGGATAAAAAACTATATATGGCAATTTATAATGTTCCTTTCTCAATTATGTAAAGTGTGTATTTTATATTTTAAAAAAGAAGAAATATACAAAAAAGATTAACAATAGCAAATTTATTAGTAGTGAGATTTATGGAAAACAACTTTTTTATATTCTCTTCTATATTTTTCAAATATTAAAAAAAGTGCACTCCTTATATTTTATATTTTATTACTTTTTCATATTATAACGATAAGATGCAAAAATTATATAATAATTAATATGATAGAATCATATAAGTGACAAAGTAAACTTCCCTTATAATCTTGTTGTTCCCAAAACAAATGCTATTAATGGTTAGGTGTACATTCCACCTATTTTTTTTCTTCTCTATATATACTAAGCACATATTTTTATTAAGAATACTATTTTTCTTTTTATAATTGAGATATGTCATTATAAACAGGGTTCAACACACAATTTTCAGTGTATATCTTTGCCCACCAGTGTTAGTCATAGGATACTTTTCAAGCAGTAAAATGATGGCTGGAGAGCATGAACATTTTTCATTTTAACAGATACTGGTAAATCTCCCTGAAAAAGATGTTACATTCCCACCATAAGAATGACTTGTTTTGCCAACAGTACACTTAATCTTTTTAACCTCTTTCAGTCTAACAGATTAAAATGAATTTGTTCTTTCATAATTAGAAAAATATAGAGATACAAGATATAAATTTACTATTATTATAAACTTCTCCATAGTAACCATATTCACTTTTCAACCTACAATTTATCTATAGTGTTCATAATTAATTAACTTCTTCCAAAAAGATTTTGAAGAAAAAGGAATTAAAATAAGAAACATTTCCTTTTGGAGTGTCTGGGTGGTTCAGTAAGTTAAGCATCCGACATTTGGTTTTGGGCTCAGGTCATGATGACACGGTTCATGAGGTCAAGCCCCACATCAAGCTCTGTGGTGACAGTGCAGAGCCTGCTTGGGATTTTCTCTCTCCCTCTCTCTGCCCCTACCCCACTCATGCTTCTCTGTCTCTCAAAATAAATTAATAAACTAAAAAAAAAAAAAGAAACATTTCCTTTTTTTAAAGTACTATTTTCTATGTATTTTTTTATCGCACATTTGCAGTAAAGAATAAAAAAAATTAAAATCAGATCTGGCAGTCATGTCATAACCATTGAAAACAAGAGTTCATAATGACAAAAGGGCATTTAATCAAACAATACTGATTATAAGTTTCAGACTCCAAAAGTAATTTACATTGCTTATATATGAAGGAGTCCTAGCAATATTAGAAGTTAATGAATTCATTTTAATACCACATGCAAATCTTGAGAGGATATAATACATTTGGATCCTAGTAACTTGATAGTTCTTAATCTGCAGTGATTAGTGAGCACTTGATGTGCATATGCTGAAAAATATCTTGTTTAGAATTGGTTATAGAAAAATGGATCAACTGTTAGTACTATTATTTTAACTAAATTTATTCAATAAATATGTACTGATGTATATGTCCAGCATCATACTTGGCCTTGAAGAAAAAACCTTAATAAGAAATAATCCCTGCTCTTGAGGAATTCATACTCTCACTATGGAGGCAGGTATGGTACAGGACTTTAAGAACTAAGAATTATGATTACAGAGGTGTGAATGGGCAAAGTACTATGTGATTGCTGGGGACAGAATACATGGGCAACATGGTGAAATTTCACAGAGGAGGTGACTTTTGAGTTAGCCTTAAAGCATGACTATATTAACTTTAAACAAAATAAAAGAGGGCATTAAAAACAGAGAGAACAGCATATGCAAAGAACCAAAGTCATGAAGGGCCTGAAGCCTTTGAAAAATAATATAAAGTATGATCATGTATCTTTTTAAATTAGAAAATGTGCTTAAATTATATGAAAAATAAACATTGCAACCTAGCCCATGTAATCTTTTGGATTTATCTGTTAATCGTTATTTGTTATTAAAATATAATCATCTAGTTAACTAACATTCATAAACATACTTACTTATAATAGTGCTCCCAGAGATTTCTGTATCTTCCTTGACCTGACATGTCAAACACTGTAAAAGACAAACTACAGAAAAAGACAATAAAAACAAAACAAAATCAAACACCAAACAAAACAATGACTACCTTATAAATTACTAACTTAAGGTGTCACTTCTATTTAAAATTTTAAATTTTTTTCAAAGAAGCCACCTTTGGATATGCAATATGCAATTTGAATCAATTTTCAAGTACAAGTCCCATAAAATAAATTTTTTGAATATAAATATTTTTCAATAAGTAACATATAAAAAATGTTTTCCTTACTAGAGAGATTATCAGAATTTGTCTAAACTCTAAATTCTGAAAAATAATCCACAGGTAGTGGTACAAATATTTTAATACTTATGGATTTCTGAAACAACAAATTAATTTTTCTAAAAGTAGAAGGAATGACGAGGTAGATGTAATATTATCACTTTTTCACCCAAAACTTCTTAGTCACAAGCATAATAAAGTGAATTACCTGGACGATTTGAATTTCTCTATGCTGAATCCTATGGTTGGAACTATATCTTGAGATTGAGCCTTTAAGAGAAAAGATAAATTTAGAAATTTGCAATTACCAAAGATGAATTATTCCTCAGGTTAAAAAAAATATCCAATATCCAATATCCAATTCTAAAATTTTTCACTAAGGAGATGACAGAATTAAACAAAATTATAATTTTTACAGTGGGATCATAGCGTGTGAATGCTTTACAGAAGTTTAAGGTTTACTAATATGAATCTGTATAATGTGTATGTCTTAATTCATATTTTGTGGCTTGCTGCAAGTTACCACAGCCTTAAAGCGGTTTGATGAGTCATTCCGAGTTCACATACAGGACTTTGTAATCTTTCACCACATACTTAATGAGTTTCTATATACTATAGGGGACTGTTCTCATATCTAGATGGTGAATATACATGGCCCTGGCTCTCACTGAGCTTATTATCTAAAGAAGGTAAACAGCAATAACCAAGTAAACTACAAATGAACACGATTTCAGGCAGTGATAAGTACAATGAAAGGTGATTTGGGGATGGGAGGCAATGGGGGAGGAGGTTGGTATGGGGCATGGAAGAGCCTCTCTGAGGAGGTGACATCTGACCCAAGAGTAAATATCAAAAAGGAGAAAAGCTATGACGAGATCTTGGCAAAGAATATTCCAGTCAAAGGAATTAGCCAGTGCAATGACCCCAATGCAGGAAGGAACTTGTCACTGAGGAAAAGTATAAGACCTGTATATCTAAAATGTACTGGGGCGCCTGGGTGGCGCAGTCGGTTAAGCGTCCGACTTCAGCCAGGTCACGATCTCGCGGTCCGTGAGTTCGAGCCCCGCGTCAGGCTCTGGGCTGATGGCTCAGAGCCTGGAGCCTGTTTCCGATTCTGTGTCTCCCTCTCTCTCTGCCCCTCCCCCGTTCATGCTCTGTCTCTCTCTGTCCCAAAAATAAATAAACGTTGAAAAAAAAAAAATTAAATGTACTGAGTAAGGCAGAGAGCTGTATGTAATAAAGAGAGGTAGAGCCTCGAAGGTCATGGTGGGGAATTCTGTGTGAAGAGATACAAGGGGGCAAAAGTACAGCAGGAGACATGTTAGAAAGTCAATTAAGTGACTTAAACTGGCAATTAAAGTGCCTTAAACTGGGGTGTCTGGGTGGCTCAGTTGGTTGAGTATCGGACTCCTGATTTTGGTTCAAGTCATGATCTCACAATTCATGAAATTGAGCCCCATGTCAGGCTCCGTGCTGGCAGTGTGAAGCCTGCTTGGGATTCTCTCTCACTCCTCTCTCTCTGCCCCTCCGCCACTCTCTCTCTCTTTCTCTCAAAATAAATATACTTAAAAAAAAAAAGACTTAAATTGTAAGTCATCAAATGCCTCCTAACAGTTCCACCATCAAAACTATTCCTCCCTTTGAATAAAAAAAAAATCCACTCATTTTCTGAACCTGAGTTCAGAACTGACTGCTTTTTTTTTTTTTTTTTACATTTTTTAATATAACCATTCCCTAAGTTTTATTGGTCCTATCTCACTAACTTATCACTTCTTGCTTTGCTTTATTACAAAAAACTTGTAATTACTCTTAATTGTTAATATGCTATCTTAGACAAGTTATTTAACTTCTCCAAACCTTAGTTTTCTCAAATGTGAAATCTGTTATTATCTTTAACTTGTAAAGTTATCATGAGAATTAAATTAGTTAATGAATGCAAAATACTCAATACAGTGTCAGGCCCATAGTAAATACTCAACAAATGTCATAATTATAGTCACTGATTTCAGTCTCTTTCCAACTTTCTCCATGCAATCAATCACAGTGTAACTTAAAAAGATCACCCTTTAGTTCATCATGTTGCTTTTGTGTGAAAACAGCAGGAGTAGAAAGAAAACTGTTGCCTCACACCATTACATTTAATTTGGTAGTCTACTTCTGGAAATTTAAAATTCAAATGCAAAGACAGAAGCTGAAAAGTCACTGGAGCTTAGTCACCTTAGTAGCAATGTGCTAGTGAAAAGGCGTCCCTAGAGATGCCCGGTTTTGCTTTTCTGAAGTTTGTTTATTCAGCTTTTCTTTCTTATGAGCTGCCTATATTCTTCCAAAAATATTTTTCTGTTTATGTTAGAATTCATTTCCTGCGATTCAGAGTCCTGCCTCAGATCTTAGGGTTTCTTCACTGCAAAACAAACTTTGGATTAAAGAGTTTCCTAATTTTTGTTGTCCCTAAATAACCCACTGTTTTGGTTTTTGATTTTGATCACAATTATAATAAAATCATCAGCTATTATTATCAGGAAAAATATAACAGTAATAAAAAAGCAAGGAAGTTAAATGTTTAAAGAAATCTCAGGGGCGCCTGAGAAGCTCAGTCAGTTAAGTGTCCGACTTCGGCTCAGGTCATGATCTCATGGTTTGTGGGTTCGAGCTCCATGTCAGGCTCTGTGCTGACAGCTGAGAGCCTGGAGCCTGCTTTGGACTCTATGTCTCCTCTCTCTCCACCATTCCCCTGCTCGTGTTCTGTCTCTCTCCCAAAAATAAATAAGCATTAAAAAAATTTTTTTTTTAAAAAGAAATCTCACAAGATACACCTCAAAAGAATAGCCCTATCCTCACTGAACTGTAGTTAGAACATTTGCCTAGTCTCTTCACAATCACCCAGCTTCTGCACAAACTCTTTGTTTCCAGATCTTCTCTTTTAACTTGCTGTTTTAATTAACAGGGATAAAATTAATCAACTTTCTTTTCTTCCCATCATTTCTAAAGTTATGATGTAAGATAATTAGAAAGAAGAAATTCCACAAATTAATTAGGATAAAACAAGGTATGTGAGCTGGTGCTTCCAGATTCAAGTAGGATTCATTTTCTTCTAGAGAACAATCTCCAACATTAATCGTCCTCTGCTCTATCTAGGAACAAATACATTTGGTCATTCTCTAACTTGCTCAGGGAATAGTACAAAGCAAGCAAAGAGTATAGGAATTATCACTTCAGTGGAATAGTCTATCTGACACAGCCCAAGGATAGACTAATGTTAACAAGAATAGAACAGGATTTCTGAGAGAGGATTCTATTTGGTTGGTCTAGTAAACATGATATCCTTGGTGCCATCAATCATCATTCCCTGCCCAAAAATGAAAATAGAAAAATAACCCATCAGTCCATTCACCCAAAGTACACTTATATACCTTGCAATATTATTTGGGATTTAGTGTTGATTAATATGAGATATATGCTCTTAAGGAATTTAAATTTATGAGGAAACATTTAATAAACAAGCTACCAATCAAATATGCAAGACATTTCAGATTGTTTTAAATCATACAAATCAGGATGATGTGGTAGTATAATGGCATTTATGTGGGAAAGGGGGGGGTGGTTGGGAATTGGAAAAGAAAGATATTTATAGAGTGCATCTCTAAGAAAATACAGCTAAGACCAGATTCTCCAGTGATCAGGTTAAAATGCCTCCTCACCCCCATTCATCAGTTTAGAAAACACCAGCAACCTCAATACATTGACAATAAATAAGCATTAAGATAGCTTAAAGCCATTTTGGGGCCGGGAAGTATCTAGTTACCTAGAAACTGCTTCTATCCACAGACAAAAAAAAGAGACGTTACTATAAAATAAGATTTGCAAATTTTTTTGCAAGAAGTTTCTTGATAGAGCATTGTAGATTTCTATAATTCACTTAATTCATTAAAAATAATCTTTCTAGAGGTACCTGGGAGGCTCAGTCGGTTAAGTGTCTGACTTCTGATTTCAGCTCAGTTCATGTTCTTGTGGTTTGTGGGATTGAGCCCTGTGTCAGGTTCTGCTCTGACAGCGCAGAGCCTGCTTGGATATTCTCTATCTCCCTCTCTCTTTCTGCCCCTCCCCAACTTGTGTGGGCATGCTGTCTCTCTTTCTCTCTCAAAATAAATAAATAAACTTTTAAAAATAATGTTTCTAATAATGGATGTAAGCTCACAAGAGATTTCTTCAGTACAGAGACACTGAGGAAACAAGAGTTATTATCTATACCTGTGTGACAGAGATTGGGAGCCTTTTTCAAGTGGTCTTTTGGCTATTAGCACCAAATTAAAAAAAAAAAAAAAAA